ATCAGGATGTAACGAGAGAAATTGATGCGAGTAATATCGATCACTTGAGAGGGAAAAAAATGCAGACTAGCTCATAGAAATGCATGAATAACATAAAAACGGTAGCCACTGACTGTTTTTTTTTTTTTTCCAATAAAATAATGTGATATACAGCAATGGAGTTTTGAAACTAATCAACTCACTGCAAGAGCTTCTCTATGCGCCTTCCAAAAGTCTCCACAACAAGGGCATCGACCTTCCTATCCTGGATTGCATATTTAAGGTCCTCTAATCGATCGAGCATACACTCCAATGCACCATAGCCAGAGTTGTTAACGTTTGCAATGGAACGAACAATATCCAACAATTTGTATATCTGTTATTCCACAAACATGGCATTTGAGACATTTAGCATGAATGAGTTCTCGGAAAACTCTTTTACAAACTAAAAGTAGTTATGCACATTTTACGCACCACATCGGTGAGATGGAATGGTAATGACAAGAATGTAATTCATTATGTATACCAAACTAATAAGAGAATGCACTGAAGGTAATTTGTAGCACAAGCATTGAAGAGAAGTTAGGATTATACAATAGATTTACGGAGGTCTGTGCATCCAGCTAAAAAAGTGATAGAAGTCCTTCACAATACTACCTTGAAAGGTCAACAACAGAATCGAAGGACAAATAGGACACTAGTATAATATAGGGAAACCAGTACCTGCTGATAATTTTCAAGTTCAGATATTGCTCTTCGCCCATGCAACAGCAATTCAATCTGACTGGATCTGGGTGTTAAAAGAGGTGATCTTGGTGTTAGAGTTCCAGCTGACATTGATTTTGTACTGTGTTCCGGTGTGAAAATAAATGGTCGATTGTATGATTGATCCTGAAAAATATCCTGACTTTCCACAAAGGAAGAGTTTCCAGTAACAGGGAGGGAATCAAGCAGCTCTTCAGAGTTTCGACATGACAAACTGATTCCTTTAGATGACAACTCAAAAATCTCTTCTTGCATATTTGATGTAGAAACCTTAACAGTATCAAAATTTGCACAGGAAGTATCGCTACTTCTTGGTGTACTTTTAGGCGTCCAAGACTCCAGTATCTTTTCAAGAGCTCTAGCAACCCGCTCAAGGCGCTCATTCACAGTTAAACCTTTCAAATCACACCTATCGGCAATTGTACAAATTCGAGAATGCACCTCAACATGAATAGTCGGAATTTCAACCTCACAAATCCGACAGATCATCAAACTCTCAAAATTGGCATTTTGATGATAACCCCATATTCCCCAAGATACTTTTTGTTCTTTAGGGGGTGCTTCTGAATGCTCAATATGACTAGATGGGATATCTAATTTCTCATTGCTCCCAGTTTTAGCTTCATGTACATGCAACACCTCAATTTTATCCTTGGCATGTGTTGTATCGACAGTGTCAGACTCTTTCCGGTTCTTCTCAGCTGCTGATGGTAGCTTTTTCCAGGATGCCATCCTATACATGCTTGTAGATGAATCAAAACTTACGGCAGAGTCCAGACTAACATTTCCAGCACTATTACTAAAAGTTTGTTCTGAATCTTGCTTCACAATGCGATGGGCTTGATCCTTCCCAACTAACTTCAGCTGCTTCGCAATATCTTCTTTCCCAGTCAATGGATCACCAAACTCAAGTTGTTCGAGCTGCCTGATTTTCTCTGGATAAATTCCTAGATCACTAAGCTGATGAAGACCCAAAATGTGCTCATCTTCATAACCACTCTCCTTTCTGAACTGAATAAGCCGCGTACATCGTGTCAGGATGAAAAGAAGGCGGGTGTGGGCTTGCTTAAGAATTCCTAATGACAGCTCCTGGCGCCGGTCATCTAGATTCTGGACAATGCCTTCACCTTTTGTCCAGAATTCAGTAGGTGACATTGTCGCACATTTCCGAGCAACCACCAACAAATCCTCCAAACCCTCCTTAAGTTCAGGCATAGATCGATCTGCCTTTTCAAGTATATCTACGAGATCTCCAGCAAAAATGCCCAGTTCGTAGTTAACATCATCCTTCAACCTGTCAAATTTTGCTCTGATAGCCACCATGATCTCCTGAATTGTAAAGCAAGAATAAGGTAGGTTCGTTCAACGTAGCTGAAAAGAGAGAGAGAGCATAGACATTAGCACAAAGGCGAACAAGAAGGAAGGGCATACTTCCAAATGTCCAAATGCCCGAGGCTTCCAAACTGGAAAAGGGCGAACCCCTTTGGAATTGAGCTCGTGAGAGAAGCTTTTGATATCTGGGGTTCTCTTCCTTCTTCCACTAGTAACACGCAGTATTGCACGGAATCGTGGAGACTGAATTTCCTTTGTATATGCTGCATGATGACCCTACGTAATAACACCCATCATAGTCCTAATCTACTCCATCAATCGTACAAATTTTACGAATCGCAAACTCAGATACAGATACAAATCAAACCAAACAGAAAACCGAAAATAGATCATTACCTCAATATCATGATTCAGAGCCGACGGATATCTTAAAGAGTTCGGTTGACTCCACGGAATGTTTGTCCCTAACGAAACATGAAAGAATTTACACAACAGAGAGCCATCCATCGATCAAACAACAACAACGCTCACGCTTGCGAAACCAGGCACCAAAACAGAGCACAGAGATAAACAAAACAAAATACACATACATTATAATACGTTCTACATTACACATACCCTGTTCAGTGGAGGAATTTTTTGGCTCCGACTCACTCCCGTCGGCGACATTATTCCTAGAATCATCGCCCAAATTGGAGGGCGTACCAACGGCACAGGTCCGAAGCGGAAGAGGAGCAGACCGCGTCCGAATGTGATTCAACCCGAGGGAGGAGGCCATTATGATGGAGGAATCGCCAGGTTGAGGAGGATGATCCTCGGCGTGGTCATGTTCTTGATCGGGATCAGAGTCTCCGGCATTGGGTTTGGTATCGCGGCGAATAGGGATGGGAGGGATCTTACGGAGCTTGGCGGCGGAGGGGGAGGGATCATGATCGAAGACGGAGGGAGGTGGTTCGGACATGGGACCGGAGGGAAGCGGTTTTTTCCGGTGACGGTTTGATGGAGATGGAAGAATTGTGGCATCGAGGTTGGGAGAGTGATTGAGTGTGAGAGAGAGAGAGAGGAATTTCCGCGGGAAGGAGAAGGCTTGAGATTGAGACACGTGGAGGCAGATGAATTAGTTCAGTTAAACAAGATTTTTGTGAATGCTTTTCAGTTTAAAACGTGCTTCCCGCTATGTGACGGAAACCCGCGTGGGAAGTTCGCCTTCTTCCTTCACCGTTGGTCTACTTTATCCTTAATTCTTTTTAATATATATATATTATTAATAACTATTTATTATCATTATTTTTAAATAATCTTTTTAATCAATATATCATACAACTAAACCATTATTAAATTGGGATCCTATATCTAAATATTCTCAAATATTCTTTCAAAAATAACTTAATTTTCATTCGAACCAAATGCAAAATAAATTTATTGAAATAACAAGACATTTAAAAATTTTATTATATGGAAGTAAGTTCCTAATAATGAGTCATTTAACGTGAGTTTAGCTAAGTGGGTAATGATTTTAAAAAAAAAAACAATAAAAACCAAGAGTGTAATTTGTGGTAGATTCAAAACTTTATGTTAAGGGAGCATGATATTTTTTTATGGATGATTATTTTCATCAAATAAGAGTGACATTTGAAATAATTAGTAGGGTTCTTGTTCTATAAGAATTATAAATTCATTTTTATGAAAAAAAAAATTGTAATAATTTTATAAAACTTCAAAATATTTTTATACATTTCCAATTATATTTCACATCAAGAAAAAAACTTGAATAATAAACTAAAACAAAAAAATATGTAGAAGGGAGGTTGGGCGGCTATACAATCAAAGCCTAAGACCCTCGTTGGCACCAACAACAGTAGAGACTCTTGATCTATCATAGCACGAGCTCACGCATTGGTTGAACCGGCTGTTTAGCCTGAGGCAGTTCCTTCTAATCTTAGAAAACGTCAAATAAAACCAGCTAGGCAACCGAACAGCTGCCCCCTAATTACTAGACCAACTCGCTATAATAACTAATGATGAATAAGAGATGTGATAGATGATCGTGTCCAAAAATAATATGATCGTGTCCAAAAATAATATGATTGTGTCCAAAAATAATAGAAGTACACCAACTATGGGTAAGCTAAGGCATGTCAAACTTGTCGCAGGTGGGCTCCAACCTATGATCGATTATTTCAACCTATACAAACGTCAATTAGTTTGTTTCTAACTTTCGATGTCAAACATAACATTCTATTCCTTGAAACTAATTAACAAACACAAAACAAAAAGGGTTGAACTTGCCATAAAGCTTACAAAGAAAACACCTTTAGCACTAAAAGAACAATATGACCTGAAGGGGAAAGGAATATGAGGAAGAGAAGAACGAAGACCTAGGCTTGCCAGTCATCTCCAGATGTTTCCCTCATTCTATATTTTATGTATGCAGCTGAGGCATTCAACACACCTTCTCTACCTCCCCCCCTCTGGGAATCCTTTCCAATCCCAATTTTCTAGCTATTCCAATCCCTATCTTCCCACAATTCTATTCCTGTTCTATTGTTTGATCATTTTTTCAGGAAAGGAGGTACCTGAAAATTTCATGGAAATGTCAACCAAAACAAGTCAAGAGTCAACAAAAAGTTGTATTTATTCAACCTCTGAGGCCTCGTCTTCGTCCCAACGGTTGATCGCAATACTTGTATCACTGGAGGCAATCATTCATTTGAAAGCTAAACTAGAATTGAATCAGTGAACAGAAACTTTCTTAGAGAGCAACAAGATACTTGGGATTGGGAAATTCTCAACCAAGATTTAAGATTCCTATGCCTAACCACAGAGCCCTTCGTTTGAATTAAGAACATGTGCTTACAAATTAGCTATCAAAATATTTAAATGATATATAAAGCATATAAGCCGGATGCAGCTCAAGGAACTAATTAATATTTTAACTTTCCACCTAAATTAACAAATCCAAAGATTTTAACGAAATGACAGAAGACAAAATCTTCCTCTCAAAATAAGTAAAGCTTCAAAATTATGGCAAAAATGGATAACGCATTAACCTTAACAATTTGAGATTGAAACAACAGAGTACATGGAAACCTAAATAACTAAGAGTGGATTAAAGAACTTCAGAATTATGGAACACATCAATCAGCAATTGTTACTTCAACCTCAACACCTGGTTCAATGGTGATAGATGTAATCTGCTTAACAACATCGGCAGAGCTAAAGAGGTCAATGACCCGCTTGTGAACACGAAGTTCAAATCTGTCCCATGTGTTGGTACCTTCAAAAACAAATAAATGATTGGCAACCAGTTTTCAGGTTGGATCTGAAAGATCACAGAGCCTCAGACATCATCAACAAAACAGGCAGCAGTCATAGAAAGCATGCCAAAAATACCAACAGCAACTGAATGGTTATAGAACAATACTGAACTAAGTAATTTTGAATCAGCAGATGAAGACCGAAAAATAAACACAAAATTTTGTGAAACTCGTCGAAGCACAATGCCAAAGAACTTATAGTTTTCATGTTCATAAATTTTCTGGCTTCTTTTCTAGAACTGCAGGGTCAAATTCATGAAGACAAATTCAAACAGCAGAATAACAATAACTCCCATCCAAAGTACAAGAACGAAAAACAATAACAGGTCTAAAGGCTGAACAGGATTACCACACTAAATTACATGCTGAACAGAATTACCACACTAAATTACATGGTGTAGAACCCCTAGTATAATGATGGGTGAATATTCAATTAACACATAAAGATCGCCAATCCGAGAAAAAGACGAATGGAAGATGGAAAGAGAGGTATGGGGGAAAACTAGAGTTGTTGGCTTCACAACCAGGGTGGCGAAGTGCCAGAGGGTTCCAAATTAAAGACAAAAACTTAACAACCATACAGATATACTTGTCTTAATGAATTGATTAAATGTTAAATTCTATCAAAAAGCAGACCGAATATCCTTCTCAATTCATTATTACTCTTTAAGTAAAGCATTGATTCAAAAGTACCTTCACCGCATGGAGATTTCCTGGTGGTGATGTGCAGGACTTTCGTTGGCATCCTCACAGGTCCCTTGACCCTCAATCTCTTGTCCTTGGCACCCCGAACCAAATCGGCACAGACTGTTCATTGAAACAGGAAGTGAACAATCAGGATTGAGATAACATTTACAAATCTGAAGGCATCAATATATTAAATTTCCATTATCTATAGAGACAGAAATTAGGACCCAAAAACCCCTAAACGAGTGAAGTCAAAGAAAAGACCCCATTTTCGCAACATGGAACTCTCCAAGAGCAGTCATCCGAAGTTGATTTCGCAGATAAATACCGAACGCCACAATAAAATAACAATGCGATAAATAACAAATTATAAATCAAGACGAACATAAGCGGTGAAAAGAATGAACGATGAACAACTACAAAAAAAAGTAACAGCGCAAGTCTAAAAGAATCTATATATTTCAGAACACATGTTACGAAAAACGTAAACAATATTTGAGTTCGAACGCAATATTGGAAAAAAGAAAAATTCCACTTGAACACTAGACAACAACTGAAGCAACCTGCTTCTACACAGAGGTAAGGAGTTACCCTTCTCAAGGTTCTTCACGTTCTTCGACGAAAGAGTGATCCTAATCTTGTGGATCTGCTCTTGTGCGTCCTCCAAACCAGCCTTCGTAGGCTTCATCGCTGCATACGCCATTATCGCTAACTTCCTGAAACAAACAAAAAAAGAAAAACTCAGAACTCCGAGAATCAGATGTGAAAAAAGGCACAGTAAACACCATGTGAAGGGGAAGGATGGAAGTGGTGGAGAAGATTACCGGCGCAAGGGGTGGGTACCGCTGCTAGGTTTTTCAGTTGGAGGATTTAGGGTCGAAGAAGTTGAAGATTGGAAGCTAGGGCTTTGGTATTAATATCAGTGGACTGGAGGCCCGAATTCAATTGCATCGGGCCAAACATTAAGTTTAAAACATTTGGATCATAACCTTTTGTTGGAAAATAAGTACGGACGTTGGAGCCAAATATTTCATCTCTCTAATAGACGTAAATCGTGAGACTAACGATAATACGTATCGAGCAAAAATAGACAATATCTACTACGGGTAGACTTGAGCTGTTACAAATGGTATCACAGCCAGACACAGAGGCAGTGTGCCAGCAAAGACGCTAGCCCCCATAGAGGGTGGATTGTGAGATCTCGCGTCAGTTTGAGAGAATAATTAATCATTTTTTATAAGAGTGTGAAAACCTTAAAATCATGATGTTAACAGTGATGTGTAACGGTCAAAACGGACAATGTCTATTAGCGATGGACTTGGGCTACTACACATCACAAATCAAATCAACGCTGCTCCAACATTTGTTACCTGAAGTTAGTGACGAGGTTACCTTGCATAAGCCAAAAAATAAAAACTCAAGGAACCTCACACGCCATCTTGCAAAGTAAATATCGAGATTCTATTATGTTCATTAAGTAGACAAACTAAGGTTAAGGATTTGTTGGGATTGATTGGAGCATAACCAAGGTCGAGGCGTAGCTGACCGCTCTTAAGTCGAGGCAAAAAATTGAAAATACTAGAAACACCATAGATTAGTTTGTCACAATCGCACTTTGATAACAGCGGACTTGCGATTGTGTGGCACTCACTTCCCAACACCACAAGTGAGTTAAGCCTATTCGTTCTTACGTCGCCTACGGCCAAGCAACGTATGCTCGAGCCTCTGGCCCCGGTTCAAGAATAAAGTTTTAGAAAACAGAGTATAGAGTTTTGAAAGCAAGATTTGAGAAATTGAAATTAGCGTATAACTATCGAGTAGACTTTAAAGACAACAACAACTTACTGGGTATAATTATCGAGCAGGGGATATGACTGAGCACAGCTTACATCATATTTATATCCAACTTTAAAGTTATTAATATTGCAAAATGTAATTTTTATTTATTTATTAATTTTTATAAAAAGTATGCCGAAAGGGTGTTATAAAGGGGGAAACAAGGCCTGGTCTTCGCCACTCTTCTGCGAACTCCAAGATTCAGTGTGAGAGAGAGGAATCAGGGTTTTAGAGGAATTAGGGTTTTAAACAGAATGGGTATTGGACTGAGGGCTTTCACTGAGAGAACGGGGGATGGCTTGGGATTACCGGTCTTCGATGCTAGCCAAGGCGAGGTTCTCATGCACACAGTTCCTGCCGTCGCCATCGTATTCGATAATCGGCCTCCCGAGTTCCCTGGCACTCTATATGTCTCCTCCAGGTACCTTGTTTTGCTCTTTATCTCCTCGCGTTTGCTTCATTTTTTTTGGTTCAGTTCTGTTTGTTTTAGAGTTTCAATTAATGTCTAGGGGTAGTGTGGAAGAAACATTTAGGAATCGGGGCCCCTTTTTCCTGAGGAGTATTTCTTTTTCTATCAAATTGATTTTTCGGTTAAGCGAGGGGAGGAGTGGGTCGTATTGTTTTTATTATTATTGGGTTGTAATGAGTTTTTGAATGAAATGATCGCTTGTGAGAATTGGATTGCCGATGTGAGTATGAGAAAGTAAAATCCCAGTGGGTTTCTCTGTGTAGAGGATCAAAAGGAACCCCTCTCAAAATTTAAGACAGAGAAACTGAACACAAAGTGAAAATTAAGAACAATATTGAAAGAATACTATTTTAAGACTTGATAAGCTTTTGGTGTTCATTATCTTCGATGCTTACAGTTGGACCTGCCTATAGATAAGCATTATTACTGTATCTAAGTCCTCAATGTAGCAGCGTCTCTGTTTTTTCAATGATTCACTCGCTAGTTATTTCTTTTGATTTAAAGCTAGAAGCTTGCGTTTAGCTGCTATGTAGGCCTGTAGTTGGGAAGTTAGGATAGAAAGGGCCTCTTCAACATGTGGCTAGAGGGGACAAGAAATTTGGTATTTTGTACACACTCCATTACATAGTGTGTTCGGCGTTCTGAGTTTTATGTAAGCTCATTTGTAGTTATGATATACATTTTTAAGGTAAAACCAATTAAATGAACTTTTTGTTACCTCATTGGCTTTTGTCTTAGTTAATACCAAATCAATGGCAAGTCTAAGCCAAACTCTATTGAAACCAAATGCATAAGTTGATTGTTCCCATCATTTCTTTCTACGTGATTTTAGTATTTCTTGAGAACGTGACTACTATAAAATGCAAAATTCCCTGTTCTCTCATTTTCTAGTGGGCATGCGAATAGCTTCTTGTATCACATGGAAGTTCCTTTATTGTTGTCGTCATGTATTTATTATGTAGAAAACTTAATTTTCATTACATAGAAAGCTAATTATTAAGGAGGTGCTCATAAACTCACTCTTAGAATAAGGGCAAAGTTCTTTGGCACGTTTGTTTGTTACTATTTTGTGGGTTATTTGGTTGGAGAGGAACAGTAGAATTTAGAGGGGTGGAGAGAATTGGGAGGTTATTAGGTTCAATTTATCCTTATTGGCAGCTGTCCGTTCATCGAGCTTTTTATCAGTATCAACTTGGTATAGTTCTTTTGGATTGGAATTTCTTCTTGTAGATAGTCTTGGGATTCCTTTTGTGGTGTGTTTGTGCCATGTACACTTTTTCACTTTCTTAATGGAAACTCGCTTTCTTACTATATATACACACAACACACACTTATATCTACATACACGTGTTTGTGTGTGGGTGTTGTCTTAATTGATTACTATGAACATGACATGAGAAAATTTAATATGCTTGTAGTCAAGTGGTTTGGCTGAGTGACGTAGACATGGCAAAAGGTTATGCTGTTGATTTTCTGTCAATGTCATTGCATGCAGTTTCAACAGACCCAGAGGCCTATCCATCTCCTTGTCTGTATGTACAGGTATTTACTTGTGCAGCTATGCATTATTGCTCATTAATTTTATCTGGTCGAAGAGATCCATGATGTTGATTTTGGTTTAAACTTCTAGTTTTCTTTTGGTTATTATCCTAGCGTCACCGTATGCAAATCCTACTGAAATTATTTGGTGGCTCTGTTAACTTCAAACCTAAGATTTTCTTGTGTAGTATGATTTTTTCTATTGGAGAAAGATCATTGCAGTAGATTTTATATCTTAAGAATAATGTAATAAATGAGGATAAAATACTATTTTGGTCCTTGCATTTTTAGATTTATTTTCACCAATCTGAGGTAATTTCCATCGGACTTTGCGGAAAAAAAAAAAAAAAATACACTGCCAATCTGTTTTCCAAATTTCTAGGGAAGTTATTGATATTTGGAGCTATAAGAATAGCAATTGTGATTTGTGTATAATTTTTTATTTTTCTTTGGAGAAACTGATATTTGGAGTACTAAGGAAATCGATGATATTCTGATGAACTTCCCTTCACTATTTGGTGATATGTGATGCTTAACATGAATTATAGGATCTTAGAGTGGGGTTGTGGAAGGTGCCGAGGTTTTATGTCTGTGTCCTGAACATGTTCGTATCCTACTGTTTCATAAATCAGCATGTCATTGTTTCCATGTCAGTGTCGTCTCCATGTGAGTTTGTCTGTTCTTTGCTTCTTAGATTCAAGTTCCTACCATTATAAGAAGAGTTCTTTGCCATATCGCATTGTAATTAAGGCTTGCAGAAAACTCTTGCTCAAATATCTGTTTCTTAAGCTCTCTTAGTTTTTTTTTTTTTTTTTTTTTTTTTTTTTTTTTTTTTTTTTTTTTTTTTTTTTTTTTTTTTT